GCAAGCGCACACACATACACACACGCGCACACACCCCGCGCGCGCACACACGCACGCACACGCAAGCGCACACACATACACACACATACACACACACACGCGCGCACACACACGCACACACACGGAAGGACGGGTTTGAAAGAATTCGCCATCTAGTGTTTCAAACCACGAGCCGTGTTGACGGAAACGCCCCAGAGGTTGGCCGGTTCACCGGGCGCCTCGGACACGCCCTGCGCTCAGGTCCCAGCCCCGCAGGTCCGGGAGGCCGGGACAGCCCCCGCCACCCAGGCGCGAACGCCGGGAGCCGCACCCACCCTCACGCCGCCCGCCAGGCCCGCGCCCCGGGCTCCAACGGCTTGGAAGCACAGCGGCCCCACGCGCACCCGCTCCGCCCGGCGCACGCCGCGCCCCTTCTCGGCCTCCCGGTCACGACCCCAGACTCCGACCCGCTCACGGTGCGAGCAGGCCCGCCCGCCCGCCCAGCCCCCCCGGACCCTGCGCCCCGCCCCGGGTCGGGATCAGCGCGGCGCGTCACCAGAGCGCGGGGCGGGCCGGGGCGGGGCCGATGCGGAAGTGCCCGCGAAGGGCGTCACTACCCACTGCCCCCTCCGCACTCTGTCCTGTTCTCGCCCGCAGCGCCGGACCCGCGGGTCAGTGTCATGTGACTTCTGGCCCTGACCGCGAGCCTGGGCCGGACCCTTAGGAGAAGAGGCTCAGGTCTCTGCGAGAATCTGTAGGTGTCGTGGTCCAGGAAGGTCTCCAGGGAGTTAGATCCCAGGACAATGTTGGGGGGCGAGGCTTCGGGAAGGGGTTGTCTTTTGTCTGACTTGGGATTAATGGGGTCTGGGGCCTCAAGGCAGCGGGAGGGAGAACCGCGGGGGGTGGGGGGGGGCGGGACTGCCTGGTCTGGGGCCTCCCGCAGAGCTTGCTGGAGCCCCTTTGCCTTCTTTCCCAAGGGTCTCTGGTGACAAGCCTGTGTGTGCCGCAGGCCATGGTGGTGCTGTGGGCCCTCGCTCTGGCCTTGGCTGCAGGCCTGGCCTCTGCCTACCCACCGAACATCGTGCTGATCTTTGCTGATGACCTGGGCTACGGGGACCTGGGCTCCTACGGCCACCCCACATCCACCACCCCCAACCTGGACCAGCTGGCCACCGCGGGGCTGCGGTTCACGGACTTCTACGTGCCAGTGTCCCTGTGCACACCCTCCCGGTGAGCAAGGGGGCAGGGAGCCCTCACCCCGTCCCATCCTGACCGCCCAGCTGCTCCCGGTTTCCTCTGGTCTGCAGTGAGGGTCATAGTTCCCTACTGTCTCCCGGGTGCACCTCTGTCTTCGTTTCTCTCTGTCTCACCCGCTGTGACTGGCTCTGCAGGGCTGCCCTCCTGACCGGCCGACTCCCAGTTCGGTCGGGCCTGTACCCTGGCGTTCTGGAGCCTGGCTCCCGAGGGGGCCTGCCCCTGGAGGAGGTGACCCTGGCTGAGATCCTGGCTGCCCAAGGCTACCTCACAGGGATGGCTGGCAAGTGGCATCTTGGGGTGGGGCCTGAGGGGGTCTTTCTGCCCCCCCACCAGGGCTTCCATCGATTCCTGGGCATCCCATACTCCCATGACCAGGTAGGAACAGCCAGAGCCCTCAGCTGCCCCCTATCCACTTCCTCCTACTCCCCTTCCCTTGACCTCCCAGCTCCTCCGCACAGCCTAGACCAGCGGTTCTCAACCTGTGGGTCGCGACCCCTTTGGGGGTCGAACGACCCTTTCACAGGGGTCGCCTAAGACCATCGGAAAACACATATATAATTACATATTGTTTTTGTGATTAATCACTATGCTTTAATTATGTTCAATTTGCAACAATGAAATTGGGGGTCACCACCACATGAGGACCTGTATTAAAGGGTCGTGGCATTAGGAAGGTTGAGAACCACTGGCCTAGACCCTAAATGGAGCCCTTCCCCCAGGGCCCTTGCCAGAACCTGACCTGCTTCCCACCGGCCACCCCCTGCCATGGAATCTGTGACCAGGGCCTGGTCCCTGTGCCGCTGTTAGCCAACCTGTCTGTGGAGGCGCAGCCCCCCTGGCTGCCTGGACTTGAGGCCCGCTACGTGGCTTTCGCACACGACCTCATGGTCGATGCCCGTCGCCAGGGCCGCCCGTTCTTTCTGTACTACGCCTCCCACGTGAGTAACCCTGGCCCCATGTCCCGGGCTGCCCTGCCCCCTGCCCGATGCTAACTCCAGGCTCTGCCCCCAGCATACCCACTACCCCCAGTTCAGTGGGCAGAACTTCGCCGGGCACTCAGGCCGCGGGCCATTCGGAGACGCCCTGATGGAGCTGGACTCGGCCGTGGGAGCCCTGATGACAGCCGTGGGGGACCTGGGGCTGCTTAAAGACACACTGGTCATCTTCACCGCAGACAACGGGTAGGCCCCAGGGCGGGCCTATGCAGGTGATTTCTCACAGGCGTGAGCCTGAGGTCGCCCCATCTTGATCACAGACACAGTGGGATAAGGGGGGGTCTCAGAAAATGCTGGCCACATTATGGTGACTTCCAGGCCACAATCCATGAAGCTGGTCCTGGTAGGACAGGGAGGAGACAGGCACCTGGTGGCCATTTCTGGGCACGTAACTTAAACGTCTGGGGCTGGAGCCACTGGGGCGAGTCAGAGACGCTGATGACCACCTGTGTGTCCCAGACCGGAGACGATGCGGATGTCCCGCGGCGGCTGCTCTGGCCCACTGCGATGTGGAAAGGGAACCACCTTTGAGGGGGGCGTCCGAGAACCTGCCTTGGCCTTCTGGCCAGGCCACATCACTCCCGGTCAGTCTTCAGGTCCTCTCCTCCTGCAACCCTGGCCCCACCTCCCCAACCTGATGGTGAATTGAGTGACCACACAGCCCTCTGTCCCCAGGCGTGACCCACGAGTTGGCCAGCTCCCTGGACCTACTGCCCACCCTGGCAGCCCTGGCTGGGGCCCCACTGCCCAACGTCACCTTGGACGGCTTTGACCTCAGCCCCCTGCTGCTGGGCAAAGGCAAGGTAGGGCCAGCAACCCCACGCCCCAGCCCCGGAGTGAGTGTGAGCAGGTCGCCTCTTTGAGTGGCATCCAAGTGCTGCTGCTGAGTGGGCATAGCCAGGACCTAACGCAGGCTGATCGGTGTTGGGGCTCTGCCCCCTGCCCCTGACTTTGCCCCCAGAGCCCCCGGCAGACTATGTTCTTCTACCCAACCTTCCCCGATGAGATCCGTGGGGTCTTTGCTGTGCGGAGCGGGAAGTACAAGGCCCATTTCTTCACCCAGGGTAATGTCCTCCCCTGACCCCGCTGACCCCTCGGACCCCAGAGCCTGCCCCCACCTCTGTGCACAGATGTGTCTCCCACCCCCCAGGCTCCGCCCACAGTGACACCACAGCAGACCCTGCCTGCCACGCCTCCAGCCCTCTGACTGCCCATGAGCCCCCATTGCTCTTTGACCTTTCTGAGGACCCTGGTGAGAACTACAACCTTTTGGGGAGTGGGGCCGAGGTCGCCCCCCAGGCCCTGGAGGCGATGAAACAGCTTCAGCTGCTCAAGGCCCAGTTTGATGCTAGCATGACCTTCAGCCCCAGCCAGATGGCCCGGGGCGAGGACCCTGCCCTGCAGATGTGCTGCCAGCCCAGCTGCAGCCCCTGGCCCACCTGCTGCCACTGCCCAGGGCCCCTGCGCTGAGGGCACCCGTCCAGGCCCGCCCCCCGTGGCTGAGGCTCAGGCATGGACATGTTTTTACCTGATACCCCAATAACACCACGTAATACTTGCAGGCGTGATGATTCCTCTAGTCCTTGTCGTGGCCAGAGGTAGGTGCTATTCTGCTTGTGCACAAGTGAGGAGACAGGCCTAGAGAGATCCAGCGACGTGTCTGAGGTCATGGCCAGTGGGGCTGGCCTGGGGTCTGCTCCATGGCCTCCTGGCTCCTGTGATTGCAGACCCCTTCATGGGAGCTGCACTGAGCACCTGTGTGGCCAGGAACGGGGCGGGGAGGGTCGAGGGCACCGCAGACAGGAGACCCAGCAGGTGCCGAGTGCCCAGAGAGCCGGGTTCTCTTGGAGGCACAGAGACAGACCCCCTTGGCTCTTACCAGAAACCTGCCTGAGGTGCGTGATGAGCAGTACATTCCAGGTGGGGACACAGGGGCTGGGAGCCTGTCAGACTCAAGGAAGATGCATGAGCAGCTTCTGAGATACCGTGACCCTAGCCCACCTCTGCCCCCCAGAGCGCTACATTCCGGCCTACACACACGTGTCCTGTCCCCTGGCTTCCCCTCTCACCCAGTGTAAGCCATTCACCCAGCAAAGTGCTCTTAAAAATAGGTCAGGTTTGGTTCCATCCCTGCTCAGAACATCAGGCTCAGAACAAAACCCAGGCTCCTTAGAGTGGCCACCGTGCCCACTGAGGCCTGCCCTCACCTCTCAGCCTTCCTGTCCCCTCGTCTTAGGCTCTGCAGGGAGGACGCCCTGACTGCCTGCCTGCGTCCACACAGCGGCACGAAGCCCTCGTGGGTCCCCACGTGTGTGCTGATAGCAGGGGCGCATGTGCTCCCAGGACACTGGCAGACCCCAGCACTCCCTCAGTGTTGGCTGAGTGAGAAGAGTGCCATCTGGGTGCTCGGGGCCCCAGCGGGCGGTCCCTCCTCCTGGCAGACCAGACAGCCATCCCCTCATTACCAGGCCCCACCTTTTCCATGTGGGCAGAGGCTCTGAACCGTGGAGGTACGGCCTCTCCCTGTCCCAGGAGGGCAGTAGCCACTCGCAGTCCCGTGCCTGCTCCAGGGTGGCATGATGAGAGTCCTGATCCGGAAGGTCAGGGGAAGTCTGCTGGGATCCCGGTCCTCTGGGGGCTGTGCGCACCGTTCCACAGCGTCACTGGCCTGACCAGACACTGTGTAGCTGCCAAGCCCATGTCTCTGGCCATCCACTGCCAGAGCTCACAGTTTAAGAAAATAAACCCTGCTGCTCACGCCACTGCTGGTGAGTTGTCTGTTACTCGAGGTTGAAGGCGGTCTTCCTGGAGTGACCTGTGGTCGGGATGTGCGGGGCACCTGTGCACTTGCAGGTGGGCTCCCGAGTGGGCCTGCGGTGTCAGACCTGTGTTCTCCAGGTGACTCCCACCACTCATGGTCTGGTTTGGGGGCTGCGCTGACTGTGCCCCAACCCCTCTGTGTGTGGGGGCTCCCCCCACAGGGCGGTAGTTTCCTCGGGGACCCCTGCAGCCACTGACGTTGGCATCAGGAGGGCCACCTGCACTGTGGTCTGAGCGGAGGCACTGGTCCTTGGGGGCTGGGCATGCACCCCCGACGCCTGCAGCTTCTCTCCCAGTGGGGCCTACGTTTCAGGCGAAGGACAGAGGCCCTGAAGCAGGCCGCACTCTGAGCACCAGGTCCCAAGACTGAGCACACAGTTAGAGCCAACTGAATGCTCACACCTGCCCGACCTGCAGGCCCCTTCCCTAGGCCTGTGGGCTCCCCTTTGTTAGTTCCCACGTTTATTCACCACCCAGGGCCATGCTTAGTGCTGGGGCACAGGTCACCGGAGGGGACCCATTCCCGCTCCATGGCACCACCATCCACAGAGAAGAGGAGCATCGACCCTGGGGTCAAAGACGCCTGGATTTTCGGTGGCAGAAGCCTGCGGTGCTGTGGGTGGGGGGTGGAACGTGCCTGGGAAGGGGCCTGAGGGAACCTCGAGTGCTTCCAATGTTCCCCATCTTGACTGGGGGGTGCGGACATGTGTGTGAAGCAATCGAGCTACACACTTAAGGTGTGTGCACTTTATGATGTCGTGTACTTTATACTTCAATAGAAATAAACATTTAACGTGATGAATGCCACCGAGGAAGAGGACTTGTTCCTACAAGAGTAATCACTGCCCTAACCGGTTTGGCTGAGTGGATAGAGCATTGGCCTGTGGACTGGAAGGTCCCAGGTTCGATTCAGGTCAAGGGCATGTACCTTGGTTGCGGGCACATCCCCAGTAGGGGGTGTGCAGGAGGCAGCTGATCGATGTTTCTCTCTCATCGATGTTTCTAGCTCTCTGTCCCTCTCCCTTCCTCTCTGTGGAAAATCAATAAAATATATATTTTTTTAAAAAAGAGTAATCACTGGTGGGGGAAGGTAACTGAACCAGGCAGGAGGCTCCCCTGTCTGCTGAGACTGTCCCCGGAGTTCAAGCCCACATCTGCACCCAGGGTGGGAGAGGACAGTGGTCCTCCCACCCTCCCATTGCACGTGGGCTTTGCTGGGATGCTCTTGGGAGCAGAAACGTGTGCTTGTTTCTCAGCTGTGTTAGTGCGATGGCCCTCCTCCTGCAGGCTCTCGTGTGCACACACGTGCACGCACAGTATGTGCCACACGAGCACACACTTTTATACACTTATCGTAGCCCCAGGTGCTGCCATAATGTCCACTAGCCCTGCCCTGTCTTCTTTGCTGTTGATTTTAAAGTCAGCCCCTTGGTCCTCTCCCCAGGCCAGGACCTCCTTGGGCCCCATGTCCTCTGGAAGGAGCTGAGTGGGAACAGACAGACAGACAAACATGTTGCCTCACCCTGGCCGGTTTGGTTGTGGATAGAGTGTCGTCCTGAGACTGAAGGTTCCCAGGTTCAATTCTGGTCAAGGGCACAGGCCCGGGTTGTGAGCTTGATCCCCAGTAGGGGGCGTGCAGGAGGCAGCCGATCAATGGTTCTCTATCATCATTGATGTTTTTCTCTCTCTCCCTCTCCCTTCCTCTCTGAAATCAATAAAGAAATATTTAAAAAACAACAACAGCCCTCGTCAGATAGGGTGTCAGTCTGCGGGCCGAAGGGTCCCAGTTCAGTTCCAGTCAAGGGCAGGCGCCTCAGTTGCAGACTCCTCCCTGGCCAGGGCCCTGGTCGGGCTCGTGTGGGAGGCAACCAATCGATGTGCTTCTCTCACATCAATGTTTCTCTTTCCCTCTCTTCCACTCTCCCTAAAATCAATGGGAAAACACCCTCAGGCGAGGATGAAACAACAACAACAATAAAAAACATGTTGCCTCTGTGGGTCCCCTCAGGTGTGGACCCAAGACATGCTCCCACCACCCTCCCTGCTGAGTCCTGGCCTCGCCTCTCTCACAAGTGACCAGAAGGGGGAGCAAGAGGGGACGTTTCCATGGAATATTTCATTTCGCCTCTTCTCCGAATGTTTTTAATTACAAAATTAGTGTGTGCTCGTTAGAGGGCCCCAGATAATGCCTGCATCTCAGTCAGAGGCAGGCAATGTAGCCTGTGTGCCCACACCACCTCCATGTCTACGCAAACCATACATGTTCAACTTGGCTCTAATCTGCCTTTCCGTGGCCGATAAGTCTTGTCACCATGCTACCCCACGGCCTGGTGTAGGAGCAGCAATAAGAGGGAACCCCTCAGCCCCCTCCTTTGTGTGAAGATCCTCCACAGTGCGGTCACAACTGTGGGGCCCAAGGCATGCTCCCCCCAGAAAGGAGAGACCCCAGGGGGAAAGGGTTGGGGGTGTTACCTGAGCAGACAGGCAGTCAGGGTCCTGCTGAGAGAGCAGTTGGGGGGAAGGGGAGGGGGCGCAGGGTTCCATAGCAAGAGCAGTAACACTTTGTCATCACTTTGCAAACACTCAGCAACAAGGAAGGAGCAGCCAATTCGATGCTGAGGGTCCAGAGCCTGCCGTCCCCGGGAAGCACCAATTCCTTGTTAGGTCTCCCCAAAAAGGAACTTATTGGGAAGGTGTTGGGAACTCCCAGAGGGGGAAAGAAGGCAAGCCCGGGGCACCTCAGAGGTGGGGGGCAGATGACTGGACACCCTTCCCTGGAGGTCACTTCTGGCAGGAGGGAGCTGTAGGCCCAACAAGGAATTGGGTGCTCCCTGGGGATGGCAGGCTCCGGACACTCAGCCGCTCGTGCGGTTGTGACAATAGAACGATAACTTGGTCAAAAAAAAATTTTGTATTCTCCCGTTTCCCCGCAAAGGGGGGGGGGGGGGATTGGGCCCCCCCCTTCCTCCTCGATAACAGGACCTTCATTTTTTGTTTAAAGACCGCCCGGGGGGGGGGGGGGGGGGGGTGCTGCTTCCTGGGTCCTCCTGCTCCTACCCTGCCCCCCTCTGAGGACATGTCCCCTGGGGAGGAGCCTGCTGACCTCAGTCCCTGAGAGTGGGCTCATGGGGGGAGGGGCCAGGGAAGCCCTTTCTATAGAAGCTGAAGGGCACCGTGAGAAATGGTCTGCTTTTGGCTTCCTGTTCTCTGTGCAGAATTTTTAAATACCCATAATTTTAAGGTCTAAGCAGGCTGCTGCCCTCTCCCACACACTCACAAGCGTGCACACACACTCATGACGCACACACACTCATGACGCACACACACTCGTGATGCGCACACACACAATCATGACGCACACACACACACACCTGAGCCCTGCGGTTCCCGGCACACCCCCTCCTCAGCCCGGCACACCCCCTCCTCAGCCCAGCACTCCAGTGTGGGTGCCCAGCACTGTCTCTCCAGCCAATTGAGTGTATCAGGGAGAATCCCCAGGGGCCCAGTGTGGCACCCCAGGGACCCCTGGCATGATCTCGGAGAGCACTGATGGGTGAAGCTTCTCCTGATTCCGTCGCCCAGGGGTCTGGGTACCCACTGCCATGGGCAGCGCCTGGGCCCCCGGCCCGTTATGTGTCCCCCAGAAACAGACAGGGTCACACCAAGCAGAGAGTTTATTGAGGTGCTGGACTGCGGGGAGTTTGCAGCGGCAAAGCGGACGCTGGTGTGGCGGGGCACGGGGCAGGGCACCCTTCTCTGAGCAAAGTCGGGGGCTTGGGATGAGCCTCAAGAACTACTAGCAACCCCAAGGCCCTTCTGGGGACCCCCTCCCTGCTTCCCCCTGAGCTCCGCACGGGGCGGTGTGGGGGTCCCTCTCTTTGTCCCTGTAGTCAGGGAAGGGGTGACCCCTGGAGATTCACTATAAAAATTAAAATTCCTTTTAAATTACTGGGCAGGGGCAGGAGGGACTACCTGGGAGCCTGATGCCACAGTCACCTAGCGCCTCGCCTTCCTCCACACCCCTCCCAGCTCTGACCCCAGAGTAAAGAGCAGAGGGCCGAGTTTGCAGGCACGGGGGCAGAGACAGACAGAGGAAGGAGGCACACAGAGAGAAAGAAGATCAGAGGGAAAGCGGGGGACAGCCCCTGTGGAGTGAGCAAGGAGAGCCCCCGAGACCCCAATCCAGTCCTTGCCAAAGCCGGCGGCCTCTGAGGCACCCCGCCTCGCGGCACCTGGTGCAGAGTGTGGGCGGCTACTCCAGGTAGATGTCCTCTGTGGGGCAGGCGTACTCCAGGTGCTCCTGGTAGTACTCCAGGAAGGCGCGGCTGGGGAGACAGCGCCGGCCACGCCATCAGGGCCGCCCGCAGCTTCCCTCCCACCGCCTGGGCCTGCCCGTCCCGAGGGGTCACTCTTCGGTCGCCCTGGTCACTACAGGCCTTACCCCCCATTCCCACCCATCCTCCCACCCAGGCACTGTGCCTGTACCTTCCCACTCCCAGGATCCCCCCAGCTCCCGCTCCAAGTTCCCACCCACCTCTAGTGCTTCTCTTCTGAACTTCCCTTTCCCTGTCTGCCCAAACTGCACCCCCACTCCTTCCTCTGTCCCCAAATCTCACCTCCGGCCCATCTCCCCAGCAGCACTCCTGAACCTGGTTGGCCCCGGCTGGTCCCACCCTAATCCCTCCAGCCCCACTCACCCCACACTCTGGGCCACAGGCCGCATCGACTCCTGGGAGACAAAGACGTGGCAGGCAAAGCGGCTGAGCAGAGGGTGTTTCGTGATGAAGCCGAAGTAGCTGGAGGGGCAGCGTGGGGCCGTCAGAGCGGGCAGTCACCTCCGCCCCCAGTGATCGGGCCCGAGGGCTCGGGCAGAGGGTAGGGACAGGGGAAATGTGTGGGTCACGTGACTGAAGGATGCAAAGGCTCCTTCAGGGTCCAGCCCCAGCGCAGGCACCTCGGGGAGTGATGGTATTAGCTTCTCCTCGTCAGGGATGTCCAGCAGCCACTTCCTTCTGGGAGCCCGTGCTGTGGCTCCACCCGGAGCCAGCCCTGGACCACAGACCACGGCGAGGCCTCGCCCCTGCCTTCCGGATGCATCTCAGCCAGATCACACCTGGCGTGTGTCACCCGACACCCTGAGCCTGGGGTGCTGCACACCCACAGCTGCTCTCCGAGCTCTAACGTGAGGCCAGACAGTGGCCCCCTCCTCAGCAACACCCTCTTCCTGGAGAACCTTGCACCTGGCTGTATTCATCGCGCCCCCGCCTGACTCTGCTTCATTTCTGCCTGTCCTCTCACCCAAGACATCAGTGAAAATCACTCCAGAGCATCCCGCAGCCAGAGACTCGAGACCCCCCACTGTGGCCAATCGATCCACATTGATTGAACTGGGGTTTGTGGTTCCTCCAGGCGGGAACCCGTGGCAGCATCACAGCTGGTTGTCCATGAGCACATGGCAGCCTCGTCTCAGAGGCCCTGATCAAAATCTCATACAGCCCTGGCCGGTGTGGCTCAGTGGACAGTGTCAGCCTGCGGACTGAAGGGTCCCAGGTTCAATTCCGGTCAATGGAAAAATATCCTCAGGTGAGGATTAACAACAACAACAACATCTCATTCATAGTCGCCAACGCCCAGATGCTGCTTGCCAAGCACCGGGCACCATTCTCAGCACCTGAGATTATTCACTCCCGGGATCCTCACAGCAGCCCCAGGAGACGAGGCAGCTACGGCACAGAGAGGCGGGAAACTTGCCGAGGACACACGGCCAGTCGTGATCTCCAAGGCCTCATCCAAGCACAACGGGCCGCACAGGCCTGTTTTGCCACCAACCTCACCATGAAGCAAGCTAACCTGTCGGCAAACGTGACTTCCTAACTGTGTCAGCTCTGGGCCAGGCTGAGTCCCTCCTCCCCCACTGCCTCCACATCTGGATCCGGAACCACTGGTCTGACTGCCCTTTTCTCAAGGACTCAAACCTGGTCTCTTTCCAGCCTGGAGGCCCCAGCTGAGCAGCCAGTTTCTCTCTGTTGAGAAATAAGGGTGTTCTTGTTCCCCTGTGGTTGGTGCTGTCCTCGGCCCCCATCCACATGTCTGGTCTGAGCCCAGGCACTCTGTCCAGCCCTCCACCCCGCAGAGCAACCTCGACACGGTGGATCCCACCACACCATCTCTGTCCTCAGTGGACGCAGCCAGACTGGCTCTGACCTGCTGACGGTTGGCCCCAGCACCTGTTGCCAGCCCCGCCCCGGCAGCGTGTCCTTCCTCCAGCAGCCCGCATCCTTGTGAGCCCCTGGCGGCCTGTCTCTCTGATTACCTCCTCTCATCTCCTTCCTCTAGGACATGGGGACCCAGTGGCAGCAGTTGGGCTGGGCAGGAAGCCTGCACCCTCACCCCCGCTGGGGACAATGCTGGCACAGTCCCTCCCCTTTCACACCTGCCACTTCTTGCTCTGCCTGGCTGTCTCGTGCCCTCATGGCCGCAGTCGTCCACCTGCTCTGAACTGAGACCTTCCCTCAGGTCTCTCCCACACCCCAGACCCACGTGACCCTGGCCGCCTCCACCTCCCTGCACCTGCGGATGAGCACGGTGCCTCCAGGCTGCCAGCCCTTGACCTTGAAAGTGGTTACTATCAGCCCTTCACCCAGACAGCACGTCTGTGGCTACCTCCCATCGACCCGGGTCCTGCCAGTTCCACCTCCCCAGTGCCCCCAGGACACAACACCTGGATGACCTCAGCAGCTACCTGGCCCACACCTGGGTCCAGCCACTCTGCACAGCAGCCAGAGCCATCTTGTCAACCCGACTGTGTCACCCCTGTGGCCGGTGGGATCAAGTACAAGCTCCTTGGCATGGCCAGAAAGGCACAGGTACCCCTGTGTCCCTCCAGCCGCCCCCAGCTACTCCCTGAGAATCCCACTGCCCTTGCCCGCACCTGGGCTCAGCCGCCTCCCTGGAAAGGCCCCCGTCACCGTCAGACGTGCCTCCCAGCATGCAGAGTGGTCTTTAGTCACCTCCTGAACCCCAAACCCCACTGCCTCTCTGCAGGTCTGCTCATGGGAGCCCCACACAGACGTCCCCCAGACCCCACGAGGCTTCCAGCACCCACTCATCTGTGTGCCTGTCTGTCTGCACCCGGACCAGATGGGAGCCTGTCTGACCTGTGTCTCCCGGGCCCGGGGGCAGCCCTCGGGGTTGGTGGGCCGAGGGGAGGGCCAAGGCTCTCACCAGCTGTTGCGAGGGTGGCAGCCGCAGAAGGAGATGTTCTTCATCTGGAAGAAGTGGCTGCAGTGCTGGAACTGGAGCCGAGGGCAGAGGCCGGTTAGACGGGCATCGCCCAGAGCCTCTCCTGCCACCCCGGCTGGACGTCCCTGTCAGACCCACCCGCCTCCCTGTGCCTCGGCCCCCGCACCCCACCTCAGGTCCACCGCTCAGACTCAGCTTGACCCCCCGAAGAGAAATCTCGAGGTCACAGGAGGCAGGGGGACGCAGGTGGACAGTCAGTTTCCGGGCAGTGGCGATCTGGGGGAGAAGCCAGAGGAGAAGGGGTCTCAGGGGCCTCCCGTCACTGGAACATCTTCGTTTGGGTTGCAGGTTCTCAGGGCTGATTCTGGAGCACGTGGGCCAGGGTCCTGGCCGTTTGTCAGTCTTGGCACCGCCAGTCACCTCTCTGCACTCAGCCTCCCTGGGCTTCCTTCCTGCCCTGCAGCCAGGACCACGCCCTCCCCCTGCACAGCCCTCCCTGCCTGTCCCCATGGTCTGACTGGGGGTCTCAGGGACAGGACTGTCCTGCTCAACCACAGGACCAGCAGATGAGCTGCTGGTCACTAACTGCCCACTGAGTCCATGACGAGTGAGCAAATGACCCTCAGGAAGGCTCAGTGAGAGCTGGTCTGGATTTTCAGACAAGAAAAAGAGGATGGGCTACAGGAAGGTGGAGGCCCCACGGAACCTGCCCAGAGACACCAAGGTGATGAGGGACAGCTGTGAGCTGGGTGGGAGCTGCCCCCTGAGGCCCCTCTAACCCTCTGTGGAGGTCTGGTCCCTCTGGGGGCTCGGGGGCCCCACCTCACACTGACCTTCTGCATGGCTGCACACAGGATGCCGTTGCCCTGGTGACAGGGCACCTCCACGGAGCCCAGGAACTGCACATCGAAGCGTTCCACCCAGCAGGGGCTCCGCTTGCTCCCTGGGGGGTCACAAGGGGCCCAAGTCAGGGGAGTTGAGGGTCTGAGGGGACAAGATGCTCCTTGGAGACAGGCCTCACCCAGCAAGTCCTTGGCAGGGCCGGGCACCGCGTGGGCATAGAAGGCAGGGAAGACCCCGCGCTCCCCTGTGCGCATGTTGAAGCCGCGGAACCAGAAGTCGTCCTCCTCAGCTTCCACCAGCACCGGGTCATCCACGTCCAGCTCCAGCTCATCAGGGTGGCGAGGGATGAACCTGCAGGCCGGGGGCGGGTGGGTCAGGGGGGTCAGGGGGAGGGGGGGGCGGACTGTGGGCCGGTGTCCACCATGTCCCATCGCGTTTGTCGATGGATGACGAGACAGAGGCTGTACCTGAAGACAGCCCGGTGGGTTTGCTCTCTCTCCTCCCCGTTCACCAAACAGGAAAAGAGGCCAAAGGACTCGGTGCCTGAGGAAGAGACAGGAGACAGCTGCTCAGAAAGGGGCAGCAAGTACTTCCAGGCATGGCCAGGTTCCCCTCCCAGATGCTTGGTCCTGAGTCAGGGAGGGAGGCAGAGCCCGCCCACCCCTCCCTAGCCTATCAGGGATCTGGGGGAAACCCAAGGCCTTTTCCTGGGCTTCCAGCCCCCCACCCCTGCTGGACATCCCTGTCAGACCCCCCGGCCTCCCCATCCCTCGGCCCCTACACCCCACCTCGGGTTTACTGCTCAGACTCAGCTCCACCCCCCAAAGAGAATTCTTGGGCCCTGGGCACTCTGGGGGACCCCTGGGACCTGGAGCCACCCCGCTCCCACCTCCACTCACTGGAGGACCGCGAGGTGCTGTTGACAAAGACGTTGAGGAACTTTTTGGAGAAGTGAGGTCCGGGCTGTCCGGGAGGCGCCGTCGGGGCCCTGCCCCTCGTCCAGCAAGGTGGCCGCCTCGTCCTCGCTGGCCTCCCCGCTGTCCTCCCCGCTGCCCAGGCCGCAGCGCCGCAGGCTCACCAGCTCCAGCTGCGTGTGCTCGTCCACCACCAGCGTGTACTTGACCGCGTCGTACACCAGCGAGGCGTCCAGTGGGACCTCGGGGCCCGCGCCCCTGCCCCCCGGGGGCCCCGCCTGGTCCTCGGCCTCCTCCTCCTCCTCCTCGTCCTCGTCCTCCTCTGAGCAGGCAGAGGAGCAGGCACGGCCCTGCCGGGCGGCTCGGCCCGGGGCCGCCCACAGCGGCATGATGGTGTCGCGCGTGGGGTTACTGAGGAAGAGGCAGGGCCCGGGCTGCGCGGTGCCGGCCCGGGGCGCAGGGGGCGCAGGGGGCGGAGGCCCACACAGCGTCTCCATGTCCACCAGCTCCACGCCGCCCGGGCCTGCGGCCTCGGGGGCCCCGCCGGCCGGCGACCCGGGCTCCCCCGGAGGACGCGGCGCGGGGGACAGGCACTGGCCGGGGCAGAGGATGGGTGAGGAGCCCTCGGAGATCATGCGGCTCACGAGGTTGCTGAGCAGCCAGGGCGAGTCGGCGTCCTCGCTGAGGTCCGGCTCGGACTCGGAGCCGGACTCGTACTCGCTGTTGGTGTCCTCGGGGCCCACGGGCAGGAAGGCGGGGCGGCGCGGGGGCAAGGGCTCGGCCTCGGCCTCGGCCTCGGCCTCGGGCTCGGGCTCCGACGCAGGCGAGGACGCCTCCTCGATGGAGTTGGTGAGGTGCGAGGAGCGGCCGCTGCTGCTGCTCAGCTCCAGCTCCGTCTCCGAGATGGACGAGATCATGCGCCCCAAGTGCGCGGCGCCCGCCTCCGAGTCGGAGCCGGGCGAGGACAGCTCCTGGCTGCTTCGCCGGCCGCGCTCCCCGCTGGTGCCGCTGCCCAGGTCAACCTCAATGCCCGGGTCCGAGGAGGGCGAGGCCTCATGGGGCGCTGCGGGGCCCGGGGGCCGGTTCCCTTCACAGTCACACCCTGGGCCCACAGGTAACTGCGCCCCGTGGGGACGGGCGGCGGTGGCCGGGTGCGGAGCAGGCGGCTCTGCGGGGGCGGGAGGGGCCTCGGTCAGCTGGCTCACCGGCTTCCGCTCCTCCCTCCCTGCCTCCTGGGCCTCCACAGTCTTGCTCACCTTGAAGTGGCTCCTGGGGGGGTGAGCACAGCACTGTCTCCTGCCAGGAGGCGGGGGGCACTGGGAGGAAGCCCCCATTGTTGTTCAGGGAGTCCTGCAGGGGAGACAGAAGAGGCTCTCAGGAGGGGTGGGGGGGGGGGCACAGGCTGCCATGGCAGCAGAGTCTGGGATGGCGGGCCTGGGCACTCACCTGGGCTCCCAGGGGAGTCAGGTGCAGTGTGGTGGGCCTGTGCTTGTGGGGCTCCTCCCGGGAGGGCGAGGGGATCAGCAGCTCCAGAGTTCCGGCTTCTGGGCCAGGTCTTCCCCCCTCCTTGTCCTCTCCTTTCTCCTCTTCTTCCTCATCCTCTTCCTCCTCCTCCTCCTCCTCCTCCTCCTCCTCTTCATTGTCATCGATCATCTCAAACTCCTGGAAGTCATCCTGGAAGGAGCAGATGGGGTGCGGCTGCTCCGAGCGCCCCAGAGACAGGCTGTCCTGCAGGAAGGAGGGACAGGGCAGAGCTGGGTGAGTGTGGGACAGTGGCTTGGGGTCCCAGGTGTCAGAAAAGGGAAAGGCAGGCCCTAGCCGGTGTGGCTCAGTGGTTGAGCATCAACCTATGAACCAGGAGGTCACCATTCAATTCCCTGTCAGGGCACATGCCTGGGGTTGTGGGCTCGATCCCCAGTAGGGGGCGTGCAGGAGGCAGCCCACCGGTGATTCTCATCATTGATGTTTCTATCTCTCCCTCTCCCTTCCTCTCTGAAATCAATAAAAGTATATTTTTTTTAAAAAAAAGAAGAAAAGGAGAAGGCAGGAAGCTATAAGTCAAGGAAAAGGAACCTCCAGGTCTCTGCTCCCCAACAGAGCAGTTTTTGTGGTGTTTTTTTTTTTTAATCTGCTTGAGATACGTCAGGATCGCTCTGGTTCTTGGTCAGAGCCCCAGACGATTAAGCCTGCATTGACGGAGAGCCTCAGAGTGGCCCCAACCCAGCTGCCCGACTCCTCTCACCACCCAACCCCATCACCTTCAGCACCACCACTCTTCTCTGCAGAGCAATCTGACTACAATTCACAATTATTAGACAACATTTGGCCTGTCTTCCCCACCAAGCTGCTGGCCCCACCAGGGCAGAATGTCCATACTGAGCACTGGTGTACCCCACACCCCAGAACAGGACCTACCCACAGCTGAGACTCAGTAAATATCAGACAAATGCAGGAAGGAAGAGACAGCTGGCACCAGGATCCACCAAGCTTGCACCAACCTCAGGGCCTCCGAGAGTTAATCCCTGGGGCCAGCTCTCTCTTCCATTCCCTCCCACCTCCTCATCAGCCCAGCTCCTGCCCGCCCTCCCTTGGGCATGCTCCTGGGCCATGGCCACTGGAAAGTCTCAGTGGGGTTCTCTTCCCCCTCACTGTGTCCTCAAGTGGAACCCTTAATCGTCTGGGGCTGTGACACTCAGGAGCCATGGCTCTGACATGTCTTTCTCCCCCACAAGGTTATAACTCCTGTGGGCATGGGCCACACCTGTCCTGTTCCCTCAGGCACCTGGAGGCACCTGGCAGCTGCCACATGGCAGTTGCTTAGAACTGTTCTTGAATGAATGAAACAGAACATGGAGAGACAGGAGGAGAAGAAAGACAGGAAGGAGATAGGGGAGGAAGTTTCAGGTGGAGACATGAGGCAGAGAGATGCAGGTGGGGATGGGGCTGGGAAGGAGACAGGTGAGCTGGAAGGAGGTAGATCTTTCTGGGAAGCCCTCTGGGCACAGAGGGCACCTGAAGCATGGGCATATCTGTTCCCCCAAGCTAGTCCACGGATGGGGGTCAAGGGAGGACCACTGGGGAAGACCCCGGAGCAGGGCCTACAATCTGTTAGAGAAAGAGATGTGACTTCCAGGAAGTTCCCAGGCCAAAGGCCAAAAGGAAGGAGGAACCAGGGGATCTCTTGCTTCAAGGCTGAGTGCAGACCTACCCTAAAACCCCAAGTGAAACCTAAGCAGGGCCTGCGTGAGGCTCCCCGGAGAGGGTCTAAGCTCCCGTCCCTCCCTACCTTCTCGCAGTGGTCCGAGTCATAGCTGAGGCCCAGGCCACAGTCATCGGTGATCTCAGACAGGTCTTCATCGTCAAATTCTTCCAGGCTTATGTCCTGAGGAGGCCTGGAGAGGAGACTCAGTCAGAGAGCAAGGACAGGGCTCCCGGGAGAGCTGGCAACCCTGGGTGCCCTGCCTGGGAGCCGGGCCCAGGAGGGGCCATGGGAAACCCAGCTCCTAGACCCCAGGGTCTCCACAGCCCCCAACTTCCAGATCCACGTCCTGCTGTCATTGTGAAACCCAATCTCTGTTCTCCAGGGGATTCCCCCCTATCTGAGCCATGACCAGCCCAGAGGGGCCACTTGTCCCTCTGCCCTCCTCCCAGTCCTCCTCCGTGGGCTCAGCCCAGGCCCCTCTGGATGCACGCGGAGCGTCACGGGAGTTAGGCTGAGCAGAGGGGGGAGGGGAGCTGAGGCGGACGCTGCAGCCGCAGAGCAGAGGGAGGGTCGCCCGGTTCCAGGAGCCAGTCTGGCCACTTTGTCTCTCCTCTC